CAGCCAGATGGTTGATTATTATATGTGCCTCGACCGGGGATTGAGCCCACAACCTCCTGCACCAGGGCAACTCTACAACCAACTGAGCAACCTGGCCAGGTTGGCTACCAACTAAAGATAACCCTGTTAATTAATTCTGCAAGTCTGGGAAGAAATGCTAATAATAATGATAATGACGATGTTGAGATTGTCAACAGTTTACTGTCCTTCTTAATAGTGTCCCAGGGGATTTCTCTGACTTTTGGTAACCCTCAAATAAGAGATAAGTTGACAAAACTTGTTAGGATCTCTGTGACTCAGTCATATAAAAGTACTTGTTGAAAAGCAATGATTTATTACTTGGAATTTGGCGGACCCTAACGATAGTCCTGCTCTGCAAATCTACCAATGATGACATCCAGAAAAGGCACCGTACCTCAAAGGCAGGAAACTCAGTCAGGTCTTCTGCGTCCTGGGAGCATCCTCCCCTCTGACACTGACCTGCTGAGTCCTCATCTCTGGAACTTCCACTGCCCTACAAGTTTACTGCTAGATGCAGGGCACAGGACACACCTGAATGTGACTAATCCTTGATGAAACTCACACTCACAAGAACCTCCAGAAACGTAATCTCAGGAGCTGCTGCCTGGTGTCCTTGGGGACGGATGGCACAGTGGCAGGCCTGGGCTGGCCTTCAGTTTGCAGGCTGCCGGGAAAGGTCTGGGCAGCTTCTGCCAGTTCTCAGAGGCTCCCCTGGCACTTTTCACTCTCTGGCACCTGCTCCTTATTCAGCTCTTATTGTTTTATGACTCATACGGTGTCTTCTCTTCAATGCCTATTATTTTAGGGATTCAGGTGACTCATACAGGGGGAAAGCAAATGGGTTTGAGGTGTGTGAAGAGCAGTCTACAGAAGAGAGGATTTATTGAGTTTTAAGAAAATAGGACTTAGGGATAAGAGGCAGAATTCTGAGGATCTTCAGTTCTAAATCTTCCCAGAGCATAGTGTTCAACATCAACCATCAAGCCCAATTTTTGGCTAAGCCATTTATGTTTTCTGGATAGCTGCTTTAAATTTCATTTATATCTACTTGCCTTCTTAAAAATATACCATGCAACAATTTTTAAGGAAATAGAGCCAATGCTGGCTCTCTTGTAACAATAAATCTTCATATTTCTATGATACTTTATAGTTTACAAAGCATACTGTCTCATTTGATCCTTAGAAAAACCCATGAGGTTGATATTTTTATTATCCACATTTTATAGATAAGGAATTAAAGCTCACAAAGGTTTGGAGACTTTCCCCCAAAGTATTATAGGAGAATGAAGACTTGAACCCAGGTCTACAGAACCCAGAGGGCAGGTTTAAAAACAAATAAACAAATAAAACAAAAACCCCAAACCTTATACCATAACTCTTTAAAGAAACACTTTTGTGCAGAATTTATTGATTTCAAACTTCATTTTCTTTCCCAAGATTACAAAAATTCTGAAAGCTCTCATTAGGGCATAGCCTCTCTTGTAGCACTGAGTCTATGGGACGGTTCTATACAGTGATGTTCCAAGTCAGATTACTATTGATTAACACAGTACTGGAGGGAACCTCTCTTTGCACTCATAACATTTTTAAAAATCTATTTTTTCTCCCTGAATATTGATCTATCTCAGTGAGTATTTCCTTTTCCTACTCTAAAGAGAAGCAAATGCTCCCTAAGGAAAGAGGACAGAAACCCTAGACTCCAGCTGTCGACATCTAGGTGACTGTGGACGCCCCTGCCGACACGCTAGTCTTTTGCAGAATTTGGGAAGATGGGTTGAATCCCTGGGGGTAAAAGTACTTCTGAAAAGTAGGGTTCTATATGGGTCAGTCTGTCAACTTCAGATGAAAAGGAAACCTATAAATTTTTTCAAATGGGCAAGGAGTGTCCAACATTATATTTTTCTGTAGGAAAGGCCTATAGAGATACATGAGAGTCTTAAGGAGAGCTGGTTCAAAACATCTACAGGCATCTCTCCTCCCTTACTATCGCCAAATTATTATATATATTCTAATAGTCCTTTTCATTAAGCATGAATTGTATTTTTCCATACTTTTAAAATTACCTAACTCCGGGTGGTTGCATGGGCCAAACTCCCCTTGTTACCTTTGTAAACTTCTCCCCCATCACCCAGAAGCCTTCTGGTTCTATTTAACGTGACCTGGAGAAATGACCTTTCTTGACTGGGGCCATCTGAGCAGTTGTCCGTAGGGAAGGGGTTTTGGGTGGGAAAAGTGATCTTTCTGGAGCATAACTGTTTCAAGATAAAAAGCAGCAAGCGGGTCCTGAATGGTGAAATCTTAGACACCCAGGAGGCACCTAATTGATGCATCGGTTGGAGTGGGAACAGAGAGGAGATGTCCAGCCAGGAGGCCAGGAGAGAGTGGAACTGACCAGTGAAAAGGGTAGTTCAGGAGCTAAGTCCACGAGCTCTGAGCACTTCTCAGCATGACTCTTACTGTTTGAACCAGAGTGATCCATTAAGTGGGCCAAGTCAGGACATGCAAAATAAGTAGAACTCTTATTATTTCTTAATCATCGAAATCACCTTTTGGTTCATCTGATTAGTGTGGGTTCTTTATACAAATAATCTCTTACTTAAAAAAAAGTATTATGCAATCTTCAGAGGTAGAACACAGGTTTATAGCATACTCAAATCTGCAAAGTAAAAACATATTGTCAGCATCTGCTTCGATGTGGGTATTACAGATTGGCCGAGATCAATTGCCAAAGATGGCACTGAGGACACCAGGCAGGGCCTCTTGGAGACTGCACCCAGTGAATGAGGGGGGTAGGTTGGTCATCACTGCAGTACAGGGCCCAGGGGTCAACTACAGCGTCCAGCACCTACCTTATCAATACCCATGATCAATTAGTCTTTGGGCACTAATTCATAATGTCTTAACTCATAAGAGGCTGAAGAATAAAGGAAGATGACCATTTATAGTAAAGGCCACTGTTCTTTTCAACAACTGAAATGTATATACTCTGTCTATTTTACTCTCTTCCAAGCAATAGGGTTCTTTGAGGCTGAATCTGTTATAAGACCATGAACTCAAGAATGGAGAAATTTGGAGGGAAAAATCCCTCTCTATTCCAGGGACCAGAAATGCTCATGCCAGCCTTCCTAAATAGCACTGGAAACAGGTAGAGTTCCTGTTCTCAGAGCCTCCTTTTTCTAGATTCTAGGTCCAAACCCTCACCTGTTTCTTCAGTATGTTGACACCACTGGTAAAGCTCTGGATTTTCATTTTCATTCATGACCTCAACCCCCAGAGTGTACTTTAACCCTGACCCTTCCAGCTCTAATCTAGAAATGTCCTGAGATTCAAGGATGGCCAATTTCATCCAAGGCATGTGGATGTTATTACCAACAACACCTATAGCAACAATAATTAACATTTACTGAGCACTCATCATGTGACAAGCATGGTAATAAATGCTTTTATCTTCATTAACTCATTGACTTCTTATAACAACCCTCTGAAATAGGTACTAATAATTAGCCCCATTTTATAGATGAAGGAGTCAAGGCTTTGGGTGGTAACTTGCCCAAGTTAGTAAGTTGCGCACTTCACCACATAGTAACTGGTAAAACCAAGATTTGAGCCAAACGGCCTTTGACGCCAGAGCCTGGGCTGCTAACCATTAGGCAATACTGCCTCCAGGAGAAACTTAAACCTACTTCCTGGAGCGTCTCACTGTGCACTCCCATACACTCAACAACATAAACAATGACAAGTGGTCATGGGCATTTTCTTTGTTGAAATTTAAGCTTAAAAGTACAGTTGAGCTTTGGCTGGATGGCTTGGTTAGTCAGAACATCAATACGTACACCAAAAGGTTGCAGGTTCAATTCCTGGTTAGGGTACGTATGGGAGGCAACGGATCAATATTTCTCTGTCACATCAGTGTTTTGCTCTCTCCTTCTTTCTCTCTAAAATCAATAAACATATCCTCAGGTGAGGATTGAAAACAATACAGTTGACCATTGAACAATGCTGGGGTTAAGGGTGCTGACCCCCATGCAGTTGAAAATCCATGTGTAACTTTTGACTCCCCCCAAACTTAAGTTGTCCCTTAGTACCCACAGGGGATTGGTTCCAGAACTCTGTGCACAAACTAAAATCCATGGAGGCTCAAGTCCCCTACATAAAATGGTATAGAACAATGCATACAGTCAGCCCTCCACATCTATAGGTTCTTGACTGCAGATCATGAACAGTACAGATATTTATTTTAAAAAACCTGCATATCAGTAAACCCACACAGTTCACATATGTTTTGTTCAAGGGTCAACTGCAATTGGCTTAAAGCATAATTATTAGAAATCAAGCCATGACGTCATGGAAAAATATCTACAAAAAAGAGACAATGTGAAATCTGAGAACACATTTATGAAAGTCAAGGAGTACACACTATATTGCTCATAGTGTAATTCTAAAAACTGCCTATTGTGTGGTGAGCTTAAGGGAAATGCTGAACAAGACACAGTCACACATATGACCCTGCCCACAGTGGACAGGCAGCCAAGTTTCACCTCCACCCAGAGAGACTGCCTACCAAAGGCCATGGAGAAGACAGTGCCCGCTTTAGGGACTGCTCATTATTTCTGATGCCTTGGGAGTTTCCTAAAGAATAAGCAAAAAATTGAGTGTTTCTATCATTTACTTTGTAATTCAGATCAGTGAAGCAATATGCCTTTGGTGCTTATTTATGAAGGACATGTCATGGATATTTGCTATTCCAAATAGCTTTTCAGAAAAACAACATTGAAAAGTTTCACTGATCTAACCTTTCCTATGTTTTTCCATGTAGGATTCAAAATTAAAATAAATAAATTAATTAAAAGCCAGGTGTAAGTTGAAACTGATTGACTGCATCAAGAAGAAAATGGAAAAAAAAAAAAAATCAGATAATTCCCAAACCTCATTTCAACTATTAGAATTCTCGCCCTTCAGACATTTAACAAAATGGCCAATGAGTTGTCAACAATTACTTTATTGAGCATTGCAAGGTGCACAGCATTGTACATAGCTCGAAAATGTCAAACTGACTTTTGTCACACCCTCTCTAAAGGCTTCCTGAGTTTCCATGGTTCTGTGGTCTTTTTCCTCCTGTGCTCCAGGATTCAGGCTGCTCGTTAGTACCTTTGGTGTAGCACTTACCATGATGTGTTACATGTCTCAGTTGTACCATGTGGTCTCCCCGCTAGATTTCTGAACTCCTCAAAATGAGATCCATATGTTTATCTCTGCAGCCTTGAGGTGCAAATACATGTTGGACAGATGAAGGACTGAATGAACGATGAGTGCTTCACTGTAGTTCCTTCCCCCAACTCCCTAGTCTGCAGTTAGCTGGAAGTGTTAACGCCGAGTGAGAAACCAACATTCAAAAGGCACAATGGAAAAGAAGTGTCCCAAGGGCGGCCAGTCCACACCCTAGAGAATCAGCTCTATAGTAAAGGTTGGCTGACTTCCCCAGGGGCCTGAGACACAGAAAAATCTGCAAGCCAGAGATGGGGTTCATCGACCCCAACTCTCACCTCAAAACCCAAAGTAGCTCACTGGGAGCAGACCAGTGGTGCAGCCACCTGCTGGTTTATTGTGCCTGTGTCCCAGAGGCACAGTCACATCCGGTCGTCCAGTGCAGAGTCTCAGCCGCCTAAACTTGAGGATTTTTTTTTGCTTTATTATCCCTTCCCAGGTTTCTAAAAAGGCCACCCAAGAATAAATAAATAAGAAATTCAACAACAAGCAGTGAACAAGAAGACATTTCCAAATGGCTCTCAAGAAGCAGTTTGGATGCCCCGCTCCTTGCATGGTGCCAAGGGGCTCAAGCTGCCATGGATGCCCTCTTTGGGCCTCACTTAGCAAATATGTACAAGCAGGAAAACTGTGTCAGTGGGAGGCACTAAGCATGCTGTTGTGCGTGGATGGCGGAGAAAACTCTGCCATGGTCCGGGAGGCAGCTGAAATGAACCCCACACACCACATAGCTGACATCCCAGGTGTGATGGGACGTGTGCGTAAGATCTTGGCTCCTGCTAAGCCATCAGGTAGCTGTGAAACTGAAAGCAAGCCCGTTGCCTCCCTGTGCCTCAGGTTCCTCATTAAATGAAGGTTTGGCCAGACTGCTTCGCTGGTCACTTCTAAGAGTCTCTTTCTTTAATCTAGCAGGATTCTTGACCCATCAGTACCCTCACCCTTCCATGAACCTTCACACTTGAGACGGAGCAAAGTCAGATTACAGATGTTAATGCTAACAGAAGTGTCGGTGAAATACTTACTGCTTAAGATTCTTAAATTCAGTTCATAGCTCCCTACCATTGACCAGTCTGGTGCCATAATTCCCAATCTTGCATCACAAACTGATCAGCCTGCCAGCTTGCTGCCTGCTTTTTCACTGTGGGGCCAATTCAATTATTTTTCCGCAAAATGTAACTCTCACTACACTCATATTTCTCATCCCCCAACCCGAAGCAAGTCGTTGATCCATCATTCTCTCCTTGTTTTACTGGGCCCCAGGTTTCTGCATCTGACTTCCAGATGAATGGTGGCCTCCCCACCTCCCCTTTTTTTTCTTACCTTACCATGACTCTTTAGGACACTCAAGAAAAATCCAGACCATTCATTCAGAAGGCAGAACAAAATTTGGGAGATTCTGCTTTCCCTTTTTACCATTTTCAGTGCAAGATTTTAATTGACAAATGTTTGATCAAAACATTGGGGATTAGCTCTCAAGCCAAATTTGCATTAATGTGAGTGGTATGTGTTCTAGACTCAAATATACTATAAAAATAATTGCCTAAGAGATCATTCTTAATCAAGTTTATACATATATAAACTTCCCAGGTGGCTAGAATAGTTTTTGTTTTGTGGTTCTTTTCTGTACATTTATACCAAAACAATCATTTAAAGACAAAAGCCAGAGTGCTTTACTGTTTTGGGTATTTGCTTGAGGGATAAGAAAGATTGATCTAGTAAGTTGAAGAGTGTGAATTTTCATATTAGCTTAACATGTAGGTCTTTGAGCTCAATCTTGTCAGCCAGAGATTTGATATACTTCAAGTTAATCCAGCTTGGCTAGGGATGTCCTGGGACTTACAGCACCTACTCAGAGCTGGCTCTCACCTTGTGGCCTCTTGTTTATACCCTAGAAGACTGTGCTACACGTTCAAGGGGCAAACGATCTTTGCCCTGGCATTCAAAATTTGTTGTGTCACATTTGGCATAAAATGCTTATCATTACATAAAAGAAAAATGCATCAAAATTCAACTTTGGAGAAAAAAATCTTAAATGTACTTGGGAACCATGGAAAGTGAAGGGATATAGCAGATTCTATATCATAAGAAAGTTATTTCAGCAGCAAAGCGAGTCTGAACTTCACCAAGGTCAGTTGAGTTGAGGAAAAAGAGAAACAAAAGGTAAACCGGCCAAGAATATTTATATCAGTTTTGCCTTCAGTCTCAGAGAGTAAAAGGAGGAACAAGATTCCTTTCTCATTGTCTCAAAAACCCTTTGGTTTAACATTGTCCTCTTTCTAATTCCTCCCTCTTCTGTAATTTTTAACTATCACACCTGAAAACCAGAATCGCTCAGGTGGTCATCTGTATCAGAGTAAATAACCAAAGGTTACAGTTTAGAAGCTTGCCCATTTCACATCAGATGACCTACACATAATCCTACCCTGAACATTTCTCTTGGGCCAAGTCTCAAGTGTACCATCTTCCTTTTCAAAGACATAGAGACATGCCCAGGAAAGTCCCAAATATAACTGATAGTGAACAGAAACCTACTGTACAGACAAAGTATTCCAGCCTTCTCTATTTAAAAAAAAAAAAATCAAATTTACTGGTCACTATTAGTTTTTTGAGTTCTATAACTCCCCAGAACTGTCAAAAGTGACCTTGTAGCCAATTCGCTTGCAAGCACTAAAAGCAACCTGAAATAGGCCACCCACAGTGCCAAAAGCAGTGTCAAAGAGCAGAGAGATGGTGCCACCAAGGCCCACTGCGATGTCCTTGCACACGATCGGAATGGCGCCCATGGTGTACACAGGGAAAGCGGCCACATCCACAAGGACTCGGACAGGGATGCCCAGGATGCGGCAAACAACCTTCAGCAGACAACAAAGGATCCGGAGAAGGGCCCTGATGATTTTGACTATGACTTTGAGTACCTTCCAGGGAATGCTCGCCAACTCTTCCCCAATGGCCAAGAAGTACGATAAAGTGGCTGAACCCAGGCGGTAAAGGCAACTTTCTATGCCATTCATCACCTGCTTGGCGACATACCACAGGAAATACAAAATGCTCTTCAAGATTCCCACCACAAGATAGCAAATTAATTGGAAAAGCTTGATGAATGGGGTAGCGATGAAGCCTATGAGTTTCCCCAAAAAGCTACTCCTTTCCTCAGGTGCATCCGGGGGCAGCAGAGCAGACCTCTTGCTCCTTGTGCTGGGGGGAGGACTAGTGCTCTCTTTAGAGCGCACCATTCGCTCTTCATCCTGGACTTGGTTAACCGCTTCCAGGATTTTTTTCATTTTCTCTGTGTCCTGTTCCGCTTCACCACAGTTGTTCTGGAATAACTGAGGGTTAAACGGAAGCAGTTTCTCAAGGTCTTTCACCATCACATCTTCTATGACATCACCGTCCCTGGTGTACTTGACAAAGCCCATGGCCCAGCCTCCTCCAGGGACAGCACAACAGGCTGCCAGCCAAACAAACTCAGGGACGGTCACTTTGTCTTTGACTTTGCTGTCTGAGGGCACAGCACCTGTGATGATATAGAGGTCATCCCCACTGCCACACTGTGGGGTCAGGGCGCGGTCCATCAGGCTGTTGAGATTCATGTACCATCGCTCCCGGAAGGTCGGGGTCATCGGAGCTGCATTTGTGAGAGCGAACATGGCTATGTGAAAATCACTGCTAAGGGAGAACGGGTACAGCTGTCCTCTCTGATAATCAGAATCCAAGTAATCCGTACTCAAGGCTTGCCGGCTTCCCAGATTGCTCACAGTGCTGATAGCATCAGCCTCATTCATCACCTCCTCAAGGTTGCTGCGGGGGTCATCGATCTGAAAGAAGAGAGGGAGTGTTCAGATGCATCAGTGCGCAGCAGAGAGGGTGCCCTTGAATCATTCTGCCAAGACTCTAACAGAAGCCCCTATTACGCTTCCTGCGCTTGGGTTTGGAAGGGCTTGGCTTTCTGGTGCACGCACACTCCATTCTAATTTCTCCCGATGCTGGTGTTTGAAAGCACCTTTCAAATCGGCTGTTTCCTATTTTACCCTTTGCGCATCCTGCATTCCTGCACCGAGCAACACTCCTTCACACACTCACACACATACACCATCATTAAATTCCTTTTTTATCGCTGTAGTTTTATGAATTTCATATTTCTCCTTTAGAATATTTTTTCCAGGAGGTTCAAATGGATTGTAAAAATGAAAACAAGGGGAAAGTAGATCTCAACAGGCCCATAAAAATCAGAACTACAATTCAGATAATCAGTCACCAATGTTGGCTGCAATTTAATGAATATATTCCTAATGAATGTTTATATACTTTGGGATATATGAAAAAATCAACTCTACTCAGAGCATCTAAATCAAATGAGGGAACATACACACATATATGTAAAATCCATCTTGGTTTTGCTTTTTCTTTTTTTAATTCGGCAGTGTAATATATACTTTCACTTTACCAATCTGAAAGGACAAAAGGGAAGAGCTCGGGACTGACCCAGAACTCCGTTTTTACCTCTCAAACTAGACTGCCAATTCTTTGACACCAAGGACCCTATATATTTCCCACAGGACCCAGCCAAGGACTGACAGATAGTAGAATCTCAAAGTATCCATTCACTTTATGCCCTGAAATAGTCATCACAGCAGACAGGCACAACAGCAGGAACTTGAACCAACACATACTTTCAAAAAAACCCATACTGTAAAGTAAACAATATTATATCTATCAATGAAATATCTCAAAGCCATTAAAGAGCACTGTACAGTAATTATGAAGAATTTTTAATAATGGGGAAATAAATGCTATAATGTTGAAAGGAAAACGCAGGATATAAAATTAAATAATAACAATTTTTAAAGTCTAAAAATAGGCATGAAAAACTTTGGAAGGCAACACAAGAAAATGTCTGCAATGGTGGTTTGATTCCTGCGGATGCTAGTGATTTTTTTCCTCTATTGTTTTTCTCCCTACACCTCTGCTATGGACATCAACCCAGAAATTACTTATATTATGCGTTACTTTCAAAAAGAAACAAACAGAAAAGAAACAAATTAAAATAAATAAATTCTGCCCTGGCTGGTGTGCCTCAGTGGATTGAGCGCTGGCCTCTGAACCAAAGGGCTGCCAGTTAGATTCCCAGTGTAGGGCACATGCCTGGGTTGCGGGCCAGGCCCCCAGGGGATGGTGTGCGAGATGCAACCACATATTGATGTTCCTCTCCCTTTCTTTCTCCCTCCCTTCCCTTCTTTAAAAATAATTAAATAAATAAACAAACAAACATTTAAAAACATTCTTAATAACTGGTTTCCCAGAATTCGCGCTACCTCCTAAACCCATCACTACACCCGCAGAAGTCAAGGCCATGTGAGCTGTGTCGCGCCTTTTGTCGGGAAGAAAACCAGCGAGGCATTTCTTCAAAGCTGCCACGGCAAATGTGGACATGCTTCATGGGAGTTACATGCAGGGTCAGCAAGGGCAATGGATGAGCAAATTGATGTAAAAGCAGGAATATTTACTGAAGTCTAATGGATTTCTTAAGTCTGCATCCTCATCCTTCAAGGCTGTTCTATCCCTTCCCCCAGTCTTAGAATCAGAAATGATCATAGATGTTCTCCACTCCCACATCTCCAGAGGATAGGGATAAGCAGCTCATTCATTTTGTAAAGCTTCTGCTGCTGCTCTCCTATGGCTGAAAGATATATCACATGGAAATACCCGCCTCATTCCTGAATCATGAGCTCAAGATTGTGGAGCCCTGGGTGTAAGGTCAAGGATTTCAAGATGCACGTGTTTCCCTGGCTCCTAGGCATTCTGTCGGCATTTAGCGTACAACTCCTGGGTCCCCTCTAGGGAAAGTCTGGTGCTGGCTTTTGAACTGGTAGCCCTGTGACAGAGCAGAGGCAGCCTGCTGGCGCGTTTTCCGCCCATGGCCCATCCAGGGATGAGGCAGTGACTGCAGGGATAGGTGGCAGGCCTGGAATGTGAGCAGAGAAGAGAGACTCTTGGAGGAGGAAGGAGAAGGAGCAAAAGAGAAGCAAAAGGGGAGGGATAAAAGGGGGAAGAAAAGGACAGAAGTAGATGAGAGAAAGAGAGAGACAGAGAAAGAGAAGGGTGATTGTGTATAAGTATGTGAAAAAGATAATATTCTTTTAGGCTGAAACCAAGCCTGTGGGTTGATTTCAACCCAGGCTTTAGAACATGTTTTCTCAGCTTCCAAGGTCAGAGGAGACTTAAGCTGGTTGTTTCTGCATCCTCTCAGGCCACTTAGGTTCATGGGACTTCAAATTTCTGCTGTGACTGTCCACCTGGCAACTGGGGTAAACCTCTTCTGCCCACACTTCATAGGTACGAGGGAAATGGGCCAGGATGGCACCAAGACTGCTGGGAGCGCCAGAGCCTGCTCCTTCAGTGGGCTCTGTGCTCCTCCTTGCCCTGGGCCTCCCTAGGCAAAGGGGTAACTATACTATGTGCTGCGGATACTCATCTTCCCTTCCTCTGTTCTTGGCTTTTACAGAACCCCATATCCATGGCCACTGTAATCTTATGATCTCCAAATCTGGCTCTATGGGTTGATGACAAAATCAAGACAGAATGCCTGCATACTGCACCTATATAGCAATGGGGTGCAGGGGTCAGGGACTAATATAGTTTAAACTACTAAATAATTGTGTTCAATATAACGCTCTATGGAAGGTATTTTTTTTACCTGATTTTATAGGTGGGGAACTAAGACTCAAAAAGATGATATAGCTTTTCAAAGTCATCCAGTAATAGTAGGAACAGGATTTGAACTTTGAACAGTCTTTATTATTAAAGCATATATCCTTTACTAGTAAGTTACACTTTCCCTGATCTTAATAGACACCGTTATACCAGTTTTCTCTACCACAGAGTAGGAAAAAAAAATGCACTCTCTGTAATCTCCTTTTATGTGTGTGTCATAGAATAAATGAAGTCCCTGAAGAGAAGCTGATAATCTGAGCCCTCGGTGTCGCAGTCCCAGGCTGAGGAGAGAAGGGAAAGGAGGAGGGAAAGGGCACATCTTCAGGCTCCCCGCATGGCTCCTTTTAGCCTTTGCCCAGGGCCCATGGCAGCTGAGCCACTAGCGTCACAGCCTGAAAGTGTGGCAGCGCAGGAAGAGGGTGACTGGCCAGAGCAGTCCCCAGACTGCTGCTACCCCTAGAGGCGGGTTAGTTGTCTGGCCCACAGGGTGCCTATTGGCACCTCACTTGGCTCCTCCCCTTTTCCCCCTCCGCACGCACAGGGATAGCAGGGAACAGCAAGTGCAGGAAAAGTTCGTGGACAAAAGCTGTAAAATCAGCCCCCTCACCACAACCTACTCCACTCCCACTCCATAGGATGGAGTTAAACCGGTAGGAAAGGGACTCTATACAGCCATGGTCACCTAGATAAATTGTATGGCTTAACTGAATCTGAACTGTGCTCCTTAAGACCTTCAATGAACAAAGATTCATTCATGTTACCTCCTGTAAGGACGGTTCACTGGAAGGACGCAGAGGCACAGAAACCAGGAGAAATTGAACCAATAGGCTCCCAAAGACCCAGAATTGTGGTGTAGCTTGGCACTGCTAGAACCATAAATGGATTCCAGGCAGCTCTAGGGAATTTTGGCACCAAGAATCTGTGGCTGAGACTAAATCGACATTAATGATTGCCATCTTTCAGCCACGTTTGACCCGTTGGACTTTTTCTCTCTCTCCCTCCTGGCTTCTTCACTTACTTCTTTCTGCATAGCTCTTTTCTACTTCATGGCTTCTGCTGACTTATGGTCAATGTTTCATCATCACTTGAGCTTGGACATGGCTCCTCAGGGCCTCCCTAGCCACTGACCGTATGATTAACCTGCAGTTTTAGTTACTTCTGTTACTTAATTCCCTACTTCAAATGCTCCAGAGACAGAATCTGATGTACCCAGTTCAACTTTCCATATCAGGGCATGTCAAGACAAGCCTATGGAACAGCTCTCCTTGAGTTACATGCTCGCGCCTGGTGGACGGGCTGCGGCTGGGTGCTGGGGAAAGAACTCCGGTGATCCACACAGGGCTTCCCCCAATCAGAGGCTGTGGAAGTGTCAGGCATTCTAGGATTGGTTTATCTAGTCATAACCTTAGTTCAATGCACTAAATGAATGTGAATAACACTAGCCAAAATTAAAAGAATAAAAAATAAATTTCCCAAGGCTCATCTAATCCAGTATTACTCTCAGACAAAAATACCAAAAGATATGTGTTGATCTTCCATAAATGCTTTACTCTCTCCTTTGAGGATCCAATAAGATACAAATCAAAACCTCTCTTTCTATCCTTTCTGTGTCTTATTTTTTTTTCATATTTTATATCTCATTAATGCTTATTTTGTATCTTAGATGAGATCCTCAGATATATCTTCCAATTCACTAGATCTCTCTTTAGCTGTGTCTAGTTTTGTTGAGATTTTTTTTCTTTTTTTCACATTAATGACTCTTTATTTCTTTTCCAGCATTTCTATTTGGTTCTACCTTAAACTCTCCTTGATTATTTTCTCTTGTGAAATTCTTTTTTATCTTTCAATAATTTAGACAGGCTTATCTTAAAGTTTCTTTAAAATTTCTCTATTTAATTTGGTTTTTCAGTTTATTTTATTGCTTCTATTGGTTAATTTCAAAGTGGTGGGAATATTAAGTGCTTTTCAATTTTTGCTGGTGAGGTTGTTTTCCTAAAGAGGTCCATGGTATTTTGTTGAAGAAAACAAACCAATTTAATAGGATTACTTTTGCAGTTGCCACTGCCAGTGCCCGAAAGAGTTCAATAATTCTGAACTACTTTCT